AACATTGGAGTTGCCCAAGGGAGGCGATACTAGCTGGACCGGACTGATAGTGTAGGACTATTCCTTCTCAGCGATCTTCGATCCTAAAGACAGATTCAAAAGGTAAACATGAGTTTCGACAATACGGGGTTCAAGTTGGGTTTTTTACGTTTTTTGAGGTTACAGCTATTGGGACGAATAGGATGAAAGCGGAAAACTAAGAACAATTGGTTACAATTGCATAAGAGAGAGAAAACACTAAACAAGGTTCCAATCTAAACTCAACAAAGTTCCACGCTGCGTCTCGCACGCTTCGAGCGCAGCGAGGGACTTATGACAAACTCATAACTTTTTGCCTGTGAGGGGAACCAGTTTTTGCAGGAGAAATTTGCCTTACTTATAAAACTTTTTCCCCTATTTGTGAAAAATCGAGATGCAAAGAAATGAAATTTTCGCCTCTCTGAGGCGAATCGATTGATCAAACAAAATCCCGAGGAAGCCGAGGAATTCCTCCTCTACTGGCTTCTGAAGCTCGAAGTTTTTGATGAAATTGCCTCGTATTCGTATGTATAAACCACTCTCGAGGGTCAAATACAGGTCAAAACACTCGAAAACACTCCAAAATGCTGAACTTCAGAAGGAATCTGAAAGGACATTCCTCGGCTTCCTCGGGATTTTTTTGGATCAATCGATGCAACTCATAGAGGCGAACATTTAGTTTCTTTGCATCTCGATTTTTCACAAATAGGGGAAAAAGCTTTATAAGGAAGGCAAATTTCTCCTGCAAAAACTGGTTCCCCTCACAGGCAAAAAGTTACGAGTTTGTCATAAGTCCCTCGCTGCGCTCGAAGCGTGCGAGACGCAGCGAGGGACTTTGTTGAGTTTAGAAACGTCGGGAGTTGGCTTCCATGATGGTTGACGAGCAAGCTTCCGCCGAGGAGAAGAGAGCATAAAGCGTCATGAATGCTCAATTGGGTCACATATGTCAAATGTGTATACACAAAGTTTTTGTAGATGTCCAATCCAATTCCGACTGAAAGGACAAGTTGAATTTGCGACATGAGTCACTTTTATGATGATTGGAGAATCGAGGGCATGGTCGCATCCGCGCATAATTAGGAACGTTCCCAGAGGAACGTTCCTTAAGACCCCCTAGGAACGTTCCTACATAAGAGTAAGGCTTGGACCCGGCACCAGGACCACCCGGGCGGGCTCGGGCCGAGCCGGGCACGGGCCTTAAACGACTCTTTTAAAAAGGTATGTGGCCCGTGAGCGCTGTGCTCTCGGGCGAGCCGGACGGGCCGGCCCGAAAGGGCCCGAGGGATTGGTGGCACTAAAAAGGGAGCTCAGAGGCTCGGAAAGGGGTCAAATGAGGGCAAATGGACTCGTTGAGGAGAGGAGAAGAGGTTGGGGCACATCTATAAGCTGAATTTGACTACTGTATGTATATTGGTGGCACTAAACAGGGAGCTCAGATGCTCGGAAAGGGGGATGGACTCGATGAGGTGAGGTGAGGAGGTTGGAGCACATCTTAGATATAACTTTAAGTACTGTATGAATACAAAGTGAATCTACTTGATGAATTTATCAAAGCTTTTGAGGCATACCGTTGCTTCGAGAGTCGAGATTTTCATTGAGCTGCGAAGATCGGTGATGGTCCTACCCGCAGATGAGAACGATCGCTCGGATGGGGTGCTGGTCGCTGGGATAGCTAAGAAAATCTGCGCCATCTTGGATAGAATGGGGAATTGATGCCCCTCTTCGCGCCAGAACTTGAGTGGGTGATAATCCTCGTTCTCTCGTTCGGTCGAGAGGTATGTTTGTAGCTCAGCCTCAATTCCTTGAGCTTTCTTTTTGGTTACAAAGGTTCGGGGGCGATCTTCGGGTGGTGGTACAGGGTCTTCGAGGGTGATCAATTGGCCATCTTGATGAAATTTACTACACTCGTTCAGAAAGTGTGTTTTCCACTCGTCACGATGATCGATGCCGGCAAGGGCCAGAGTTTCATTGGTCAATTCTTGATCCTTGCTACGTGGGTCAAGCAGAAGCGCACACAAGTACGCTGGCTTTTTGAGGACCTTCTCGTAGTACAGTTCGGTCTTGGTCTTCATTGGTTGAATCGCTTGTCGGAGCTCTTGAGCCTCGTAGTTACACCAGCTCTAGAAAAGTACGGCGTATTCAGTAAGAAAAGTGAGAGTTGAAATAAAGTTGATCGAGAAATACAATCAAGAACAAAACATACCAAATTCAGCTTCTTGATAATCCACTCGTATACTGGAATTACATCGCCAAGGCTTGGGTATTTGCTTGCTGAAAGATCTTTGGTGGCAATCTCAAAAGGTTCAAGAAATTCGACAAGGTGTCCTATAAGCTTCCATTCATCCTCTGACAAGGCGTACTGCCTATAGTCGGGATCATTTTGACATTTTGTATTGATAGAAACCCGTAACCGGTATGCTCGGCGATAACAATCGAGGTCGGAGTTCCATCGTGTGTCGACGTTGCGGACAAGGTTGAGCGCATAGCCTAAGTCTGCCTCAACTTGCTTGAGGAAAGACTGTAAGCGCTGAGGTGATTTGTAAATCCAAGCAATGAGCTTATGGAGCCGAGTAAGGACCGAGTTGACGTCAGAGGTTTGCATCGGTTCAAGAAGAACAGCAAGGTCGTGTGGGACTGGTCCATCTTCGCCAAGTCTTCTAGAGAATGCCTTGAGTCCATCTCGAGCAACAAGGTTGATGACATGTGCAGCACATCCGAGGAGATTTTGATCTTGCTTGAAGTTTGGACAGACTGCTTGAAGAGCATCGGCCATTGTACCATTTGAACTGGCGTTGTCAGCAACAACACAGAAAACCTTTTCAAGGAGTCCATACTCTCTAAGAACAGGAATAAGATGATTGGCAATGTTGACACCAGTATGCTCGCCTTCGATCTCTTTGAGACACAATATGACTTCTTGAAGTTCAAATTTCTCATTGATCCAGTGGACTGTGGCACCCAAGACTGATTTTCGATTCGGAGATGTCCAGCAGTCACAGGTGATGCTGACCAATGTTTGATTTTCAAAGTATTCCTCCATCACTCCTTTCATTTCGTGAAAGTTCTTTCTGGCGGCATCTCCAAGAGTGTCCGAGCCAACAAGGAGTGGTGTAACAGCAGGGTTACACAGTTCAAGAAGTTTCGCAAGTCGGGAGAATTGCCAAAGAAAACGGAAGCTCCTTCATGATGAT